TATTTGCACACTTTCCTAAAGCCACACAGCCTGACACCACTGTTCTTTGTTCTCTCCCTCCCTGTTTCATCTGAAAAGAAAAACTTCAGCTTCTATCACAGTACTGGGAAACAACTGGAAGTTGATTTAGAGGTCTGAAACGACAAATGTTTTAGCTTACTCTAGATATCTAAGGCAGTAACTCCCATACAAGTTTGGCCTTGAGTTCACTATGCAGTGACATTTGTTTTAACAAAAGAAGAGGTTCTAGCTTTTATCACAACGCCTCCTGCAACAGGCAAAGTGCTTCCCTTGTTTATTGGAATGTTGTTCAGGTACAAGAATGAGGTACAATAATTCGGCTGAAGTCTCTCTTCACTTCTCACGTGTGATATTACAGTCATTAACTTCATTGTGCATATTACTTTCACAGCATAGGATGCAAAGAGTGCAACAAAAATTCAAACAGCCAAATTGCACTTGGCTTGCAAGATTATTTGCAAAAGGCAAAGTTTAATGAAAAGTAAGAAATCAAATTGCCAGGCAATCAATTCCAGCAGTGCCCAGTGCTAGTTATTGCTGCCTTCCTTCCAGTGCCTTCAGTGCCACCATGTTTCTTTCTAGTCTCCTTGGATATGAATTTGACATGCTCTGTACTTGTGTTTGAGATATGCTAATGAAAAACAGCATGTATGAAATGCTTTGATAACAGAAACTAGTTTACATTTTTTCAAGTTATTAAAAAAGATGAAAGAATTAGTAAAAACTGAAAGCAAATGGAAGAAGTATAAACAGACATGGACTAGATTTTTATTGACCAACATAAAATGCATCAGTTATAAGAGAGGAAAACCAGAAAAAAACAAAAGCAAAACAAAAAGCCACAAAGCCAGAAACAGCAAATAAGAGAAGAGGTAAAATAAAATAACAGCAGCTCAAGAGAGAAAGAGAATAAATAAATTAGTAACTTCAGGATATGATACAGATAAAAAAAACGAGCTGGAGACTAAAGTAGACAGAAGAGGAATGAAAATATGGGAGGAAGAAAAAAAGAGCGAGAGAAGTCCTTTTTAAAAGTAAATGATGGAAGAGACCCCAGAGTTCTACCTGCTCCCCAAGTTCAATTTATCTTGCATTTCTCCTTATCACCTTTTATACCTTCCCAAAATATTCCCTGCTCCAACTCTCTGGCCATCTTCCTGCTTAGAGCTACTAAGTTTCAAGGAGCTGAAGGGATTCTTAACAGTGGCTGTAACCCAAAAGCTATTTCAACAGCATTCTGAGCACACACATATCCCATAATCTCTTCATGGCTGCTGGAATACAAAGAGACACAGGGTATGGGGGAAAGAAAATTTAGAAATAAAAAGGAATGAGGAATATAGGTGGAATCTGGACTCCCATACACCCATCTCCTAAAGAACCCATCCACAAAGCACTGCTCGAGAGTAACGTGACATTCACCTGCTTCCAAGGCATTAAGCATTCCAGATCCATAAAAACAGATGGGGAAACATATCAGCACATACAGTTAGGGTTCAGACACCTAGCAAGTGAAGAATACCCCCTCTCCAAAAGTAAAAATTATCCATGGCTAGTTTTAAGCCACCCTGGTCCCCCATGCAAGCACCAATGACAGCACAGAAGAAAGGGCTGGACAACAAGAACAAGACAGCTCAGTGTTTTGGAAGAGGAGAGGGAAAATCCCATTTTGGAAGGTGTTTGTGGAACTATAGCATCTGACCATTTAGAATTTGGCAATCTACTCATGCCTTTATACCACTGTATAAATCTTTAAAAGACAATTAACAGCATTCCAAAGGAACAGTAACTACAACAGGGTGAAGATGCATGTTGAGAGCAAAAGTTACTGTCTCTCAATTTGGTCTTTAATTCACCAGACTAGAGAAGACCTCAGACCTCCAGAACATGAGGCTTTAGTACACGCTGAGCTCTAAGCACCAGTGCAAAGCAGAGCAAACCGTGACAGTGCCAACTCTTCCATTACTGATGGAATCAGTCATCAAGTGCTTTATATTGTTCACTTCCCTCCCTAAATCCTTAATGTTACGGGATGTCTTTGGCAACCCGAAAGAATGGATTGTTTTAAGATGCTGTGGAAGATTTGTATCTGTTTGTGTGCTTTCTAAACTTTTTAAATTTAGCTTTGTGATGAGGTGTTTTAGAAAACTCAAATAATAAATTTGAATTATCAAATTTTTCAAATCTACTTATGCTAAATTCAGACATTAGTCTTTTGCAATTCAAAAAAAACCCATCAGAAAATATTTATCAAGTATAAGTTAATGAATTACCATTATGATACTTAAAGAATTTTGGACTCATCAATTTAAGAGTTATAATCCATATAATAGAAAAGAAACAATACAGAAGTTCACAAGTCATCTACTCTTAGTGCTTCAGCTTCACTATGGCACATTGTTTTCTAAAAGATCATTAAAAGACTCTGGATCTTGTACAGAATTTAATCTTCACATCTTTGTTGAATCTTACTATGCATACCTTGGCTGCAACTTTCAGTACTTTTGTTTCAATTCAAAACAAAACATTGTCTGTCCTTATTGATTTATTATGAGTAGTGCCAAATTAAAACTGTCAACAGCAGTGAGAAGAACGATACCACTAAGCCCGAAGTGCTTCATGACAGATTGACCAATATGTCAAAGAAAAGCAATGTTTTCCTAATGACTGTTTTTCCCCTATACTGGGAGGGAAGCTGTGAATGACCCAAGGCCACAACACACAGGATGTGAAGCTGCTGAAACTGCAGGCAAGTTATATTGCAAAACTATACAAAAAATGTGGTATGTCTTAATGACGGTTGGGTCCAGCACGGGGCTGGGGTAAAGCACTGTCCATCCATAGCTGCTGCTCCCTCACTGAATGACTCAGGCACTCAGTTCCCAGCCAAGGAGACCCCCAGAGATAGCATGTTCTGAGTTCAAGCCCCTGGACAGCCAGCCAGTTATTTGTTGCAGACTCTCCACTCAATCACAAAATGTCATTAAGTGAATCTAAGAGTATGTTAAACACTTGGAATATTTACCCCCATATAAACAGCTGCTGTAGCTGCAAATGGAAAGTTACAGAATTGCAAACAATTGGTATTAAGTGTAAACAGAACATATAAACCACATTTTATTTCACAAGACATAGGAACCTCGGGGTTAAGGGGTTCTTTGCTCCTATGCTGTAATTTACTATCTTAGGTGTATATACACAAAACTTAGCACACCCGAACTGGCTAGAGAGTACGAGTCTTAACTCTAGAGCCACTCTGAAATCCACAGGCATTTGAAACACTTTTTTTTAATAGCATAGCATATTGCTAAAATGTCTTGTTTACATCACTATCTCACTATCCAAAGTTTCTATCATCATGAAGACTTTCCAGGATACTCATCCCCACTGCAGACACACTCAGTATGCCCCAGCTGTATTGTGCTCCTTATCCTCAGTTTTTAGTTTTATCAGCTCATAACTCTTAGCTGTTTTATTTCTCATGGTACTCAAATTCATTCCATGTACTGATAGAGCTTCACCACATTATCTTCTACTTGAGGTCACTAATAAAGTATGGATGCTAACTGTGAAGCAGGGAGCACAGTGCCTGTGGAAAAGCAGGCGGCATGACTTTCTCAGTCTTGCCTGAGAAAGTGGCCTGGGAAATCCTAAGGAGGAATTAAAACAATCCTCAGAGATAGAAGACAGCCTTGCAGGTGCTGTTTGTCAGTTTCTTGTTTTCTTGCAGGAGAAGGTGGAGGGCTGGTGATGGTGATATGTTAGTTCACTGACCAGTAAGTGTTTTACCTTTCTGTACTTTCACATGTCAGTCTATAAAAGACGATCTGAGGTAATAAACCTTAAGCTCTCCTGTTCAGCTCACAAGAGTCTGTGTCATGTTTCTCACTGTTCCCAATAGAGCAACAAGTGCCTACATACATAACACCTGCATTTTTCCCTGTCTTAATTCTTCCCCCAATTTTCCCCATTTAAGCAAGATGCTTTTTCCATACAAGTGGGGAAAAGAAAAAATTAAATTAATTTGGACTTTAATACCATGTGGGAAAGTACCTCAGAGACAATCTCACTTTACGCCACAGAAGTTTTATTAATCCTGCACCTTCCTAAAAACATAATTTTTTCTTCCCAAGAGATCTTACTCATTTACTAAGGTTAGCCCACACCTCCAGCTATACGTTTTATATATAATATAGACAGAAATTATCTCAAGTTCACTTTCTTGGTTTTTAAATAGGTATCAGTCTGGACAGAAACGCATGCAAGGTTAAAAAGCACACCAAATTTAATTTTTTTATGCAGAAGAGAAATTAAGTGTTGCTTTCAATCAGTCACAGCTATGACTCCTTAAGAACACAATAAAGTTTATTTCAAAGAGAGATACTCCAGACTGTATACTTAGTTCACACTAATAGGCTGGGCTTCCAGAAGAAGCATAATTTAAACATAATATTGGTCATTCCTAAGAAACAGCTTCACTTAGGTTTCTTAGAGGACTCAAAAATGCATGCAGGCTGTCCCTGTCAGGGACACAATGAGTATTTACTGTTCCTGCTGGGCTTGGCCATCCCTCATCTTTGTACTCTACAGAAACAAACAAAAAACCCCACAAAACACCCACTCATCTGAAATGTTACCAAAAACACTGACTTTGGCTGCTGTAAAATAAAGAAACTGTTCTGATTAGATACCAGAATCATACAGCAGAAGGCACACATGCTTAATATAAAAGTACAACAGTATTGATTAATTAAAGTACTCACAGAATTGTAAGCTCCTTCAAATGTGTTTGTGTATCAAATACCTATATAAAGCCAAGATAACTTCAACAAGAAATTTCTACAAAAAACAGCAGACTGAAATGAAAACACTGCAGGTGGCCAGTATTGATGACTGACTCTAAAAATCCAATTCTTTATTCTGTGGTTTTACTACGCTAACAATGAATCCCACCTCATAATAAGAATAAAATCAAATACCTTTTTTTGATTTTGCTCCAATCTTCAGCTTTGATGGCCAAGCAATCTGTGTATTTGTTTCTTCCATAATCTATTAAAAAAAGAGCATTTTCAAACAATTAAGTTTTTATTTTTCTCTTGCAAAGGCATATGTTCATTTTCTGAAAATACAATGTTTACCATTCTTAAAAATGTTGATTATTATTACTTTTAAATAGCCCAAGCCATTAAGCTACTATTATTACATTAAATATCACAAGCATCTCTGCTTTTCTTGAGAACTGTTGTCTCTTAATAAATGTGTCTGAGTTCTGATCATTCAAAAGAATTCCACAGAGCAAACCCAAGACACTCAATAGCTTCCACGAAGTTCAAATGACCACTAATAGCTACAGCAGGCTCTACATCCTTTCTCAGAGGCAATTTCAAACCTTTACAATTCAACACAAATATTTCTTCAGTTACCTTAAAATGGTTTTTAAGTAAAGTATATCAAATTTAAATTGAGTCTTTTTGAATATCCATAAGTCAAGATATATTGGTTTGCCTCACCTTTACCCAAAACCAGCTTTTTTTTATAAACTTATCCAGACTGCAGAATTTTTACTTTTGGTTTAGCAGGTCAGAGCAGACATTTGACAACATTTATTTATTATGACACAGTGTGTAACCCATCTGTACATTTCCAAACAGCCAACAGGGGGAAAAAACTATGCCCACACTCTTATACTGTGAAAACCATGCAGTCATTTATCTCAGTGTCAGCTCTCATTCCACTGCTACCTTTGGCTCAGTGAAAATTCCATCAGCTCTGTTACAGGCATATTACACTGAAATTTCATCCTGGCACAGAGCTACACTGCTTCACCAACCCATTTAGTTGTAACACATGTGAAGGAACTGCTTGACACCAAAGACTTCAGATATATGAACAGAAATACAGCTCCTATAAATTCTGGGCATGTCTACTGAGATAAAAGGACATCTCTTATACTGAGATCTCATCAACAAGCATGGGGAGCTCATACCCCTCATCACACTTAAGATGGAATGAAAAATTAAAATGTCTAAATAATTAGCAAAGCCACTTTCAAGAGGAAAACTAATGCAATAAGAAATCAGCTACAACACCAATAACTTTTCCGCAACACTATAATTCAGAATTAAGGCAGATTTCTCTAATAGTTCCTACTTCTTATCTTCTATATCCAATCCCAAGGACACCACAACTTTCAGATTAGTATGCCATGTGAAAAAATTAAAAACATCAGCCAGACCTCATTATACTACATTTTTGGTTTCAGCACTGTTGAATAATAAGTTACAGCTGAAATAAAACATTTGCAGGAGGGTGAAATTCTACCAGCAACACACATATACTTTTTACCATTTTTCAATCCAGATGTGAAAAAAACCAATTTCAAAGAATCCACTTGTCTCTGATAAAAGGCTTTGGGCCAGGATTTTTTTAAAACTGTGCAACAGGCAGTGAAATACACAAAAAATAGGAAGGCACTAGCTAAAAGGAAACGGGAGATGCTTAAACAAAGAATGGTACAGGACTGAGTTATAGAAGATCCAACATAAAAGGAACCACAAGAGAGGAGACAGAAGAAGAATGCATGTCATTCAAGGCAAGTGTTACATCCCATCAGTCCTTTACCCTTCCAATAAAGGTTGGAGACTTCTGTCTTACAGAAATTAAATCCTCCCTATTTCCTACATTTAACTAAAATAAAAGGAAAACCCACAACTTCACAGCTGCACATTCTGGGGACATATGAGAAATATGCATATGAGATCTTCAAAGGAAAAGCAGTCTGACTGCCAGCCACTGAGATTTGGCCATCTACTATCTTTAAGCTTTTTGTAATCCTAAAATTGCCACATTAGAACAAAAAAGACAACTCAGTTTGGTCACTATAAAGACAAGTTTATTGCCTATCCTAGACAGGTAAAAAAAAAAAAGGTCAGGATGCATTTAAATGAAGTGCATTTACTGAAGTATCAAAATGCTCAGTCTGTGCTGGCTTTTAGCTCCAGGCAGTAATGTTACAATAAATCAGGACCTTCACAAGAACGCTTAAAAAGAAATTAAACTACACCACATCTTAAATTATTATTATATTTAAGTTACTGTTTATGTATTGTACTTATTATAACACCAGAATGTCACAAAGCTCTGGAAAACTTTAACTGCTCTAATAAGAACTCAGTTTGAACTTGAAAGTAAAGATGATATTGAAGACTGTGCAGATCACTGCTGCATCAACTTTTTTTTTTTTTTTTTCAGATTTACCATTCAAACCCAGGCAGTTTTAAGTAAACCAAGACTTTATTATTTTTCCTGAAAAATCAGAATCATTCCATGACAACCTCAAGTGCATGTTGCAAGGGAAGAGCTTTATTAGAGAAAACTCAGTGTGTTATGCTACCTATCCTGAGAACAGGGGTTCTGCTCTCATGAACAAAAAGAGAGAAATAAGTACTCCAGCTATAATACATTTGTTCCAATTGTATAAATACTTGAGTTACATAACATTTAGAGGAAATTCAGCCTAGGGATGACTCAGAGTTCATGTTCTCTGCTGAACAGCACCTCTGCATAGCTTCCCTTATTTCCATATATAATAAGTGATAGAGTGAGTACTAATCAGTGCTCTTCTCACCTTGAGGGATCAACTGGCCAAAGGGATCAGGGCATATCTGGCATCAAGGTTTAATCCACTAGTAAACAACCTCATGCTTCTTCTCAAAATGAAGGAAAACCTAAGAAATTATCTTTCTACAGCTTTCCTTCCTCCCCTTTTCCCCAAGTGTAACTGTGGTGTTTACAAGCCAAAATATGTAAGCTATTCTCAGTGGAGAAAAAACAGAAGAGGACAAGACACTGGAAGACACCAACAAAACAAATCAGACTGTACTCTGACCCTGAAAAAATTGGCTCTAGTTATAAATCATTGGGCCTCCAGGAAGAAAAAAAAAGGTCTAACCGTAAGGCAGCTGGAAGACAAGCTTTTGGCTTCCTTGTATTCCAGCTTGAAAAGTTTATAGTTTAAGCACTTCAGGGATTTTTTACATTAAAACAGTAAGAAATTATTATTTCTTTTGCTCTATTTTTTGTTTAGCTGATTTTGGATGGAAATTGGAATGTCCTGAATGCAACAAAACCAACCAAACAAAACTCCCCCAAAGCCCACAAGTATTTCAGAATTCAAAGGAACTATTTTACACATAGTAGATGAACACAAACAACATATACAACAGACCTTTCTTCATTTAAAGCAAGCATATTAAATCAAAGTATTATTCTTTATAGTTAGTGTTGAGAAGGTACCTATTTCTGACCTTCCCACCTTTGGGATTTGGGCATCTTGGCCTTTTCTGCCTTGGGTATTAATCACAGTGGGTTAATCTACTAGTGGGCTTCTGCAGTTTCCCAGTCTGAATTCCTTCCTCACTTTAGTGACATTCTTTTTCCATGCAAGTGGGGAAAAGAAAAAAAGAATAAATCAGTTTGGACTTCAATACCATGTGGGAAAGTAACTCAGAGACCATCTCAATTTACACCATAAAGATGCTTAGTCTGAATACTTGGTTTTACAGACTTAAAATATTCATCTTGCACCTTCAGCTTTCAGAAAAGTTGCCTTAGTCCCCTCATTTTGTATATATTTACAGCTGTATAAACAAGTTTATTCTAATGGTTTATTTGAATCATGGAGTATAACCTAGATAAACATTAAAGGAAAATAAATTTCCATAGGACAAGACCTGAAGTGAAGAGAAACAGCAGACAAGTGAAATTCTACATGGGGCAAGCCTTAGTTCTTCCTCTTACAATGCATAAGGGGTGATGCAGCACAATCTGAGAGGATGACTAATCCCTGAACATGACTTTTGGCAGTGAGAACAGAGCAATGGGTGTAGCTGGAACCAGAATTATTATATTAAATGGTTTGTTGTTTTTTTGGTTTGGGGAGAAGAGAAAGCAAGGCAAGAACAAGGAAGGGAAGGAAGAACAAGACACAAAAGAGGGTTGTGTGAAGTTACCCATTGTGAATTCAAACTCCAAAACTGGTGAAGCCAGAGAAAGCACTTGCATTGCCAGAGCACATCAGTGGGGCCGCATCAAGGACTACTGGTTTGGTGAGGAAATTTGAGGAATACAAAAGGTTAAAAAAGAATAAAAAACTTAGCCCCAAAGCCTGGTGCAAATACACAGCTCTTGTGGAAGTCCAGCCAACATTTTGGGCTCAGCAATGGATTTGCATCCCAAGCCATGTTGTGGTCTCTTTTCCCCTGAGGTGATCTACATATAAAATTCCAATCAAGAATTCACTGTTTGTCACAGCTACTACCCGAAGTTAGACAGTACAGCCTAACCCCACTGTGTTAGCACTAATTCTGCAGGTAAGGAGCAGGGGCTACTTCTGAGAAGCAGCAATGGCACATGGCCCCTCCACATTCCACACTACACTGTCCAGAGTTTCCAGTTTGTGCTCCTGCGTGGCAAAAAAACCCCATCTCCTATGCAGAGAACAAGAATTAAAGCCAAAAAATACAAAAAAAAAAAAGCTTTAGTAAATTTGTTCTGACTTCAGACTGTCAGTACTGACAGCACACATGTAAGTGCAATCAGTTTAGAATACACAGCCAAACGATGAGCAGGGAGGACAAGGATCAAGCTCCACTTGTGTGTCTGTACAGAAAGGAGCAGTGAGACAGCAGGGCATTCCCACACACAAGGACATGAGTGTCTGTGTGTCTTCATGGGCAGGGCTCCTCATTTTCCCATTCTATAGCCCAACTGTCAGAAACCCAGACATTTCCCAGAAAAGGTGACTGCTTGGCTAGTCCTTCTTCCCTAGTTTTACTTGTCTTGGAGAAAGATAATATGTAAATTGTTTTAGACATTACTCTCTGGAACAAGCAGCATGGATAAGGATCAATACTCTCATATGTTTTTGTTCATGCTTCCACTGCAAGTCATTTGCTTCAATACTGCAGGAAATTGATCTTCACCTGCACACTTGTCCATTTCTGTTAAACTGATTTTTATTTCAAGTTTTTATTCAACGTTAAAAT